AGCCATAATTTTAAAAACAAGAACAACAGCCTAATGCATCTTCTCAATTATTTCATCTCAGGAAGAGTCTGACAAAGAATATGAGTATTTAAAAGCTCTTTATTTCAAAGTGGGGTTTTGTGTATTTAACTACTATATAATATAAACATGAATTAACCATTAAATAAATATCATACTATAATAAATATACAAGTGACAAAAAAGTGATGCAAAATGCAAGTGATCAAAGACATTCAAATAATAATATCATGTTGAATAACACAATGTTTCAGTAAGGAAGGCCAGAAATAAAACAAATAGATACTCAAGCTGTTTGAAGCATTAAGGAGTCAACAAGTACTTAGCCTTTTTGTTTTTTACAAATTATAATAAAATATATAGGTGACTCTAACATCCAATAAGTTGGACTGTGACTTAATAATATAAATGGAATAGTGTTTTTAATCAATTGTTTTAAGTGATATGGAATCTCTTGGAGCCACAAATTGCTGTGTCTTTGCTCGCTTAGAACGAGCCCTAAACAAATACAAAAACTAGGTAAATATCAAGCTGTGACTAATTACAAAAATCAAACATAGTCAAGTGAACAAGTGAAGCATTAATGGGAAAAGAAAGCAACATCAAGAAGCTCCTCATCAGTTTAACATGGATGTCCAGGTTTCTGGTTCATGTCCAATAAATAATTCATAAGCCATTTTTCAGGAAATAAAAAAAAAAACAAACAACAAAGGAAAAACAATGAATACTTTTTAAAATTCCATGTGATATAATCAAGAACAGTTTATGCACAGAAAACAATTCCTGTAAAAAATGGTGAAAAGCCAGATCGCTCATTAAGTTTCGTTGTGTGCAGTAACTGGAATACAATTCCAAAAAAACACAAAACAAAAAACAAGTCATTGCCATTGTATGGTCAACTCTGTGTGAGTTTTTACTAACTGAAGTCGCTTTCACTGTCGTACTGGTAGTAAGGGTTATCGTAGCCTTGGCTCTGAGCGTGTAGTTTGATCTGGGGTCGTTTTACAGCGTAGAGGTTGTTCTGACGTTGAGCCTGGGAGTTTGTGTTATTTTGGTCACTATATAACTCCTGCAGAGGGAAAACAATACAATTACTTTCACAGTGGAATGAACAACAAACGACATAAAAATGAAAAGCTTCATAAAATCAGGGAGAAATGCAAATCGAAGCCTACATCTCTATGGACACACAGAGACATACTGTCACAATCCTGGGTCTTTTGACCCAGCGTTTTGAGTTTTAGTTTATGGTTTATGTTTAAGCCCTTCAGGTTTTCTAGTTCATTTTTTATCATGCCTAGGTTGTTATAGTTTGTTATTAGATTCCCCTTGTGTCTTCCACCCCTGTTAAGTCTCCCTTGCCCTTCATGTGTTTCATGTCTGTGTCTTACGTTGTCAAGTTCAGGTTGTGATGTCTGCGACTTATGTTTCTTGTTTTATTTTGAAGAGATCTTGTGTTCCTGTGTTCATCGCGTTTAGTTTTACTCTTTCCCTGCGAGTTCATTATGTTCATGTGGGTTGTGCTGTTTTGATCTTTATAGTTATTATTTCCCTTAGGCTTAGTTCTTGTAATATGGCTTCACTGTGTTCCATGTTGTGTCTACTGTGCCTTTCTGTACCATGTTTCAGGTTCCTATGTTCTGTCTCCCCAGTTGCTGTTAAGTTTA